ATATATATATATATATATATATAATATATATACTGCATATGAAGAGTTCAGATGCAAAAGCCTCTAAGTGCCGTCTAAAAATGTATTCTAAAATTATAATTTTTATCAGGCTCCTATGGTTAGGTTCAGTAATTTTACTTTAATGGCAATGTATAGGTCCTTTTCTATGCCATTAAAGTGATATAACTGAACATAAATATAGGAGCCTGATAAAAATGCTCGTTGAAAATTTAAGACGGCACTTAGAGGCTTTTGCTTCTGAATTCTTCATATATATTTAGGATTCTCTGATTTACAGAAAGTTCAAAGGAACTGCATTTCTTTGAAATGGAAATCTTTAACATTATACCTGTCTACTCTTTCACTTTTGATTAATGGAATGCATCTTTTCTGAATAAACGTATTAATTTATTTTAAAAAACAATCAAACTGATCTTGAATTTTTGAATGATAGTGTATTCCTTTAAACGCACAATGATACACCGATGATATTAAAATAAATAAATTAAAATAACATATATTGACTTAATTTGTAGCATCAAAGCACAATATAGCCATGGCGTGGTGAGTTGACTGAATACAGAACAGCAGTCACTTGACCTAATGGTTCCCTCTTTTTTCCCTCTTTTCTTTCCTTCCTTGTTCTATCTTGCTCTATCTGTAAGATCCCATGTCTTCTGAAAAGAAAAACTCAATCAAACCATTGATTTTCTGTTTCAGCATGCTCCAAAGCAATTTAGCAGCAAAATGGGACTTGATTTTATATGGAAGATAAGAGAGGCCTGCTTTAGTCTCTTATCTGCCTTATTCATTATTCCGCCAGCGAATTCATCCATTCAAACATACATCTTGACCTTTTCTGCCACTCTGACAAATTTATGCGGCGGGATATCTGTTACAGTCATATGAAAAGCAATAAATAAATATGACTATTTCGAGTTTCACACTAACATCACATTTATACTCCTTTTGCTTCTACTTGTTGGCAAATTTTTGGTCTTTGTTTCAAAATACATTCATGAGGTGGTGCTCTGACTAGCATTTTTCAGCTTTACTGAGCCAAAAAGCCAAGGGAGTTCTAGAAAAGTCTAAGAATTCAACAGTGAATATTACTGTGATAGAAATGTAATGTATCTGCTAGATTCACATTGTGAAACTGTAGCTCAATAGGACAGCAAGACTCAAATGTTGTGCATGTACGCCATATGAATACATATGTAGAGCTCTGAAGCATCTGAGGTTGAAATCCGATTACAATCTTACGATTTGAAAATCTTATGCTACTCCAAAGTTGCCTTTTATAGTCTGACTTTGGCTGCCACAACATGTCAGGCAATTTCTATGATGTGCTTTTGACGTGACTAAGATGTGTAAATAGATACAAGTTCATACTAAGAGTCTTCGCAGTTTTTCATATTAAAGCCTGGAATTTGTGATTTCAGATCTAGATCGGTTAAATGCAATATGGATGTAATTTCTTTAAAAAAAAAGCTTTGAATTGCCAAAGTTTTAGTAACATTTACGCGCATACACTCTCAGAAATAAAAAGGTACAAAGCTGTCACAAAAGCTAAAAGGTACATCTTTGCACCTTATGTACCAATAAATGGTACATATTAGTACCTTAAATGTACACATTACCATCCTAAAAATACATTTTAGTACCTAAATTGTACCCTTTTTGAAAGGGTATCGCCCCAGTAACAGTTTTGTACCCTTTTTCCTGAGTGTATTAAATAGAAATTAAATAGAAAAACATAACATAAATTGTTGATTAAAATTAAATATATCTTTAAATAGTTTTAAAATTTGTTTTCAAAAAATAAGATAAACCTCTCCCTTTAAAAAAAAAAAAAAGTCAGTTAACTTTTTTTTTTTGTTATACATTGTTTCCTACTTTTGCAAACCTTCCTACAATAAGCCACCAAATTAGATTTTCTCCTCTCGTGAGTTTTGTGCGCTTTGACATATCATTTATCACTATGTCTCCAACATGCACATGGTTACAGAAGCTGGGTACTGACTTTTGACTTTTGCGAATAAGACCAATGAAGACATTAAGCAGCTCAATACCAACTGCTAACCTTTGACTTCATGTTCCTCTCTGAGTATTTACTTTTGGTTGCAGCCTTTCAGATTGATGAATGACACTGTACCATGGGTAAATGAACATCAGCCAAAGCCAAAGATGAGAAAAGCGTTGCATTTGACATTTTCAAGCCTCCCTAAGTTTTAAAGTTCCTCTATGTGAGCTTCTTGCTTACTGGGATCCATGATGTTATAGGATAAAACCAAGGGGATTCTTTGAAACTCATTTAGGAAATTTCAAAAGTTTTGCAAGTTAGTTTTGCTGGCGCGAAGCGAGACACATTAAGACATCACTGCTTTGCATAACACGATTATCATCACAATCGTTTCATCATAGAATCTTTAAGTGCTTAAATCAGCAGATAATGGCGCCAAAAATGAGGCTTTCAGGAAAGTTCACTGGAGCTCTTGACCCTCTGAGTGGGTTTCCTTTATAGCTCGCTGAGCTCTTGGCCCAATGGCCCTTTTCCTGTCCTCAAGATTCTCTGACAAATCCTCGAATCGGTCAAAAATTACTTTTTGCTGCCTCACCATCTGCTGTGTGAAATGTGGCTGGGGGAATTGTGGCTGGCAGCAAGACCCTGTGAGAGAACGTAAAGCAATTTCATGCCCGTGCGCATCCATTGCTGATAATTTAATCGATAGCGATAGAACTGTGGGACCGCCATGGTCAGAGAGGGAAGTAGGAATAAGGTAGGCCCACTGGGTCTCTAAAGCACTGCTGCGGCGAGGAAGGAGGTTACAGGAATAAAGGAATGATACTGTATCTCATTTCACTCCTGTCGAAGAATATCATTCACTCGAGTGAGACTGTGCATCTTGGGAAGTCACCACATCAGGGCCGCTTCAAAGCAAGATGTTAGAGTAAAACAGAGAGAAAAAGAGTGAGACAGATAGAGACAGTTAGTGAACAATTTACAATATTGTTCACCCAACTCATACTTGCATGTATAATTTTTGCCATACACAGTTCAAAAGGTCAGTACATTAAAAAAATAAAAATAAAAATCCAGTACATGTTTTTGAAATGCTCACCAAGGCTGCATTTATTTGATCAAAAATACAGTAAAACAGTAATATTTGAAATATGATTACAATTTTAAAATATTTTACAATTTAAAACTATTTTATTTTTCAACATATTTATGTAATTTTTTATGTAATTTATTCCTGTGATAGCAAAGCTGAATTTTCAGCAGCCATTTCTCCAGTCTTCAGTGTCACATGATGTTTCACAAATATGTTGATTTGGTGCACAACATTTCTTACTATTATAAATGTTGAGCACAGTTGTGCGTTTTTTTTGGTGGTATTTTTCAGGATTCAGCGAATAGAAAATTCAAAATAAAATCAATATTAATTTAAATAAATGTCTTTAAATACCTTAATAAAAGTATTAATTCCTTAACACCTTACTGACCCCAAACGTTTGAAATTTTTTTTTTTTCCTTCAAAAATTCTAAATACTACTACTACTACTAATAATAATAATAATTTTTGAAGAGTACTCAGAATTCTTTCAATGATATGATGCATATACCTGAGTGACTTTCATTCTGTGGAAAAGACCGATGACAACAAGGGCAATTTACTAAACGGCTCAATAAATGTAAAGGTCACCACCACAGATCAATATGACGCCGAAACCACACATATCCTTAGGTTCGAAATCATCTTAAAATTAAGTCTATGCTCTTATGGAGAGAAATAAACTACTTCACTCATCCATACTGACAGTATTAGGGATGGGCAGAGAGGTACAGCACTATAGATGCCAGAATAATCCCTGTGTGATAAAGTAATCAATGGATTTGAAGGTCAAGTCCGAGGGGTGGATGTACTCAATGTCTGTATGAGTGGAAGGTAATTTAATGTGGATTTGAGAGGGTCGCGTTGCCAGGAT